GTTTTCTAAGCAGAAATCTAGTCGTAGGTCACATACACACTGGAAAGTTGTAAGAATGATAACAGCATTTAAATCTAAATCGCTGTTCTGTGTGTGAACGGAATACAGGAGTCACACCTGCAAACTGCTTGATGATTGACACAGTGGTAACCATGGCAGCAGGTTGTCCTCTCATCAGGGGCGCAACAATTCTTGACGACTTCTGCCCAAAGTATTATTAGTAACCAGAGACATTATCATCTAGTAATTCTTTTTTTTTTTTTTAAATCGCCATTCTTTATGCATTCGTTCTCTGGAGTGTCATGTAGAAAGAAACAGGACTGACAACAACCATATTCTGCTGCTGTGTGTACATGACAGGATCACATTTATGCATTAGTTACACGCATTTATCTCATGATTCTGGCATATGCTCTGCTGTTTGAGCTATACAGGAATGAGGCAGGACCAGTGTGGCCATATAACTGGAAGCTGCTTAGAAACAGCAACAGGATGCCAAGTGTAACGTACCATGATGTATGACACACCAGCAACTGTTTTCTCTCATAAGTGCTAATAGGCAGAACGAAAGCGACACTGAGCCGTGAATCCACACCCTCCATAAAGCTGCACCCTGACCTTCTGAAAAACCTGTTGCAGAGCTCATGTCTTCACATTTAGATCGAACTGTTTTTATTTGATGAAACCAGCTCACTTAAAGTGCGAAAAACAATCCCATAAATTACGCGCGCAGAAAACAATCTCATAAACTAATGAGGAATCTCTGAACTTTCTTGACTTGTATTGTCAGCATGCCGCTCTGACACGAGTGTGTAGTGTGTGAGTTAATTGCTTCAGCCTCCAGTAACCGCTAGTGGTAAATGCCTATGAGCTGTTGCATTTACATATCCCCTCATTTAGAGACTCTGCTAATTAGCATTCTCATTATGCCAATTAAACTAGCTTTAATTATTATAGCACCGCCACAAAAAAAAAATAAAAACTATGAATCGCAAACCAAATAGCCTACAGAGATATTCCACAAGGTGCTGTTCCGAGGATGCGGTGATGGGAGTACCAGCACAGCTTGTCAAGAGCGGAACACTCTCATTATGACAATCAGATTAATTGTTTAATTGATATCCGAGCATTTGTTTCATTAACGGATCGTTAGGAAGCGCGAGGTACCGGCTATTCCTGTTCCTCGGCGGAAGCGGCCGAGTCTTGGAAGAGGAGGGATGGGAAGCACAAGGCCTGAATCCTGGGGAGTGTCTGGTGGACGCCCACGCCGCTGATGTATGGGCAGATGCATCAAATCACACAGGATAAACAAGCGATGAATTTCATCAGTGCCATCATAGCCTTAATTTGGCTGCCTAATGAGTCAGAGCTAGTGGCGGCTCTAATGAATTTCTTGCCACTTGTAATCAAGGTTGGCTGTCTGAGGGGCCATGATTAATGGAACCCTGGAGGATTCCCTCGGCCTTCAGCTCTCATTACAGCTAATGCATTCTCAGGCAAATTAACGCACTGAGAAGAGCGAGCGAGAGAGAGAGAGACGCAGAGAATCCAAACAAGGACGGGAAAGAAAGAACAAGGGATAAACGCAAGATTGAGAGAATGCGAGGAAAGAAAACATCAAATGACAATTAAACAGCCTATGAAAGCAAAATTGACTTTTTCGGGCTTTTAGGCCATGTCTGGAAGCTTTGAGTGGAGCATCTATATGCTAATATGTAACCAAAACCAGTTTTAAGCACAAATACGCATTTAAAATCTTCCAGGAAAAATATCAGATGGCTTCATTTTGTTTACGTCACAACCATGCAGGTGGCACTGAACTAAGGCCTGAAATAAGGTCTGTAGTTAACACAGGCTTTTAGTCTATGATATTATATATATGTAATAAGTGGCTAAATGGTCAAGGCGGCAAAAAGGTAAACTCATCTACTCACTAGCCAATTTTTACTTGTTAAAAAATACTAAAGGATTCCAATAAGAAAAGTGTACAGGATTCTAATTCATTTCTATCATATTTGGGAACTTTAAGATTACTATAGGACTTTCTGTTACAAAGGGGGTTGTTCTTATTCCGTTAATTTTCTTTGCAGCAGCTTGTTTACCAAGACAATATACATAAAATAAAAAAAATTAAAATCTCACAGGAATCTCAAGTCCAATAAGAATCTCATTGGTATGGTTTCAAACTATGATAGAAATTCTAATTAGAACTATTTTCTTATTGGAATCCATCAGGATTTTTTGACAAGCTTTTGCAAACTATTCTAACTCCAACTTTTTTTTTTTTTTTTTTAAATTGGAAAGAAATTTAGTTGTGATGTTAAGCCTAACTTTAGATTTGTATTTGGCAATTGCATTTAGGCTTCAAAATTCATACAAGTTGGTTTCATTTGTGAAAAGTATCATGATGAACAAGATCATAACATTTTATTGGAAAATGTTTTTTTTTTTTTTTAAGGCAACCTGGGTTGGCCTACAAAACTACATCATAACTGCAGCGCTCCATACAAGTAAAAGATGATGCTATTAATATTTTGATCTGGTTTCCTGTAAGGAATGCTAGTGTACTTCTTGTGATCGGACAAAATACGTACAAAACATACTATTTAAAAGCTAATTAGTCAGTTTTTAGGACTACACTAGATATTGATAACTTATATGAACTAAAAGCTAAAAGTTTCCATCAACTTTTCATGAAAAAAAAAATATATATATAAAAAAAAAAGATATATTCTGATTTTCCATGATCATGTGTTGTAGTTGAGAAAACACACAATAAAGCTTGAAGACATTTTGACAGTCTTAAGCACACATTTTCATATGATCAAGGAATGAATGACAAACTTTCTCAGCATTCATGGTATAAATCATTTTATTGGAGTGTTTATTATGTCAATAGCCAGCCAAGCATCCAATCACACAACAGCTAACTCTCATGAAAGCGCTCCATCACGTTCAGAGGGAGCAATTAAAAAACAATGGCAAATTAAAAGAAACAACAAAGTTATCAAACAGCTCAATAAAAGCAACAACAAAAGGAATTATTTACATCTTGCTTTTATAAATATGTCAAATGTACATATAATACACAAAGTACCTTAACGGCCAGACAATGCTGACACATTGAGACCCAAAACCAGGTACCAAAAAAACTTTAAAACTAAACGGTGCTTCTCTCTGCTATACGGCTACTTGAGGAGCTTTATGGGTGCATCCCAGCATTCAATAAGCCGGCAGTCGCAGGGATGACAGGCGAGTGTTTAATATTATTTTCAACTGCCATATTCCCAAAAGCTCATCTTAGCAACCTCATGTAATACGCAGGAGCCCAAACTTAATGTATATTTAAAAAAAATGATACATGTTCACTTTATGAAGATCAAGAGGGTAACCTTCCTTGCATGTCATTGGGAATGAGCCTCCAGAATTAAAACGGGTTTAAAAAGATGTTAAAAGCCGTTGCATTTAAAATCAATGGCAATTCTCCTAAAGCTTAGTTAGATGAGGGTTGCATGTACAAATCTGACTCGAATAAGAAAGAAAACATACCTGCTAGAAGGTAAAACACCTAAAAAACATGTAAACTTAAAATACTGTCAGGTAAGGACATCTTCCTCTCGCTTTCCCTTTAACTCACATGTGCCAAATATTAAGTTCTAATCATGATTTCATATTTCAAGTAAAAGTTGATGGCGTACACACTAGCAAACGAGGGTTAAGGCTGATAGGTTTCAGATGGGTACATAACGGCCATCTCATCCAGAAATTGCCCACACGACACACAGCTAGCTGCAAGAGGGAGCAGGAAAAGCTATTTTATACACACATCTGTACATAATCCACATCACCATCCCATCCGTCCCATTCAGTTAGAAACACACGTCTGGATTCTAATGGATACAAAAACAGCCACACCGTCACAAGTGTGGAGGTCATTAGACTCGTAACAAAGGAGTTGACGGCGAGAGCGTCTTATTTCGTAATCTAGTGTGTCGGTACCGTCCGCTGCTACTGAATGGATCTGTCATTAGGCAGGACAGTGTCAAACAGTTAGAAGACCACTTCAGAGCGGTCCAGAAATGATTCGCACAAGGCATCCGTAATAACACAGTATTCGTCAGGTAATCAGGCCTTTCCAAGACAATCACGGAGAGGCTAAATGTAAAATCGCAATGAGTGTGATGATTTGGGTTTTGATATATTGCACTGATGCTACAAATGGTAATGCGTTACCCAGCAGCCTTAGTGTTTTTGAGTTTCGTTCAAGGGCACAATGGTGGTATATAACTATTAAAAGTGTGAAGTTGGAGTGAAAAATGCACTTAAATGTTTGATTTTTAGCACTAATCTGAAAAAAAAAAATCACATGATTAAGTTGAATTTAATGAAGCATTTAGATCTTTGTGTGAAACTCACAAAAACATGTCCAGGTCACCCAAAAATTAAAAAACGAGAAAATATATTTAGCATTAAGGACCATTGAGATTTTTTGCATTGCGAATCCCCCCCCCCCCACATTTTTTCCACCAACATTTTCATTATTGAAATGCATCTGGATATTTTTTTATTCATATTTTACTGTTTATTTCTGTCAATATTATTCTTATTATTGTAATACAGTATTTTGTAGTGATTAAAAAATAACAATATTTTACACTCAATTAAACCTTAAAATTAAAGTAGTAAATATTTGTTCTTTTGATTTTAGGGTGAAGTACGCAGACATGTTCTTTACAGGTTTCACCAAAATCACTGATTTAATGGGATAGTTCACACAAAAATGAAATTTCTAGCATTATTTACTCCACCTCATGTCATTCTAAACCTATATGACTTTCTTTGTTCTGTGGAACATAAAAGAATGTATTTTGAAGAATGTTGGTAATCAAAGAGTTTCGGTTCCCTCTGACTTCCATTATATCGACAAAAAATTCAATGGAAGTCAATGGGAACCAAAACTCTTTGGTTACCAACATTCTTCTAAATATCTTTTTTGTGTGTGTGTGTGTGTGTTCAGCAGAAGAAAGAAAGTTTGTAATGACATGAGGGACAGTAAATAACAACATCATTTAATGTTCTGATGGACAAAAACGCGTGGGAGCAAAGCGGAGGATCCATTACTGTTGTCCGATTCTTTTTAAACTGATGCACCTAAAAAACAAAACTTATTTTGTTTAGAACCTGTTGCCCATCATTTCATTTTTTGTTCTATACACACACAAGAAAGGATCCTTAAAAACGTAATTTTCTTCAGCTTAAAAACAACACGCATTGATAATGTTAACACTGCTAATTCTCGCTGCACGCTAACATTGGTCACAGGAAGTCGTCATGAGGGTAATGGCTTTACGTGACACATGTGGCACTACGCACAGTTTCCTAATAAAGACGTACTGTACTGCTGAGGGAAATGATGCCATTTAACGAGAGCAGCATCTATGGGAACATCAACATCTTTGAGAAGAGACACTAGAGACACTGCGAGCCACGATCACATGATGCTAACACTACGGTTAAGCTCGCACTGAGCGTTGTTGTTGATGTTGGGATTGTGTCGGGTGGCTGTGGGCGTCGACACTCCGCCGCCGCCGCCGGGGCAGCCGTGTTGGATGAGGATGTCGACGCACTCCTGACTTCCTGCTCGCTGGGCGTAGGACAGGGGCGTCTGAGCGCGGGCGTCGCGACTCTTCACGTCCACGCCGTACTGAAACAGAGGAGGAAATGAATGATGGACGAACACTTGTGAACGAAAGGCGCTTCCAAAAAGCGAGTTCTTACCCAGATGAGCAGCTGCGTGAGGACCACGTTAGCCATGGCGCAGGACAGGTGCAGGGCGGTACGTCCGTCTCCGTCCCCGTACGTCTCGTTGACCTCTTCTTTGGTGCCGTGGGCCAGCAGGAGAACCACCAGCCTCAGGTCGTCCTCCACCACGGCCCGCAGGAGCTGCTGTCCCAGCGGTACGTCTGACTGAGGAAGCCCCACCAGGAACAGCTTCTGCTCGTACTTCGCCCGGATCCAGCGCTCCTTCTCTTCCCTGAGAATCAGGACACAAACAGAGCTCAACTTTTTATTCCTGTAAACACACGGCTTTGTTTATCAGTGGTCATCCTGATAGCGAACACCATTCCAGTGTAGTGAATCAAATCAAAACTCTGAATCAAATAAATCAATTTATAAAATCCACACTTTAGAATATTTTAGCAAAACTGTATGTAGGTAAATATTGCTGCTTAGTACTAGGTTTTGTTATATAAATTTAAATAATCTATCTATAGCTATGTCTGTCTGTCTATCTATCTATCATATTTATATTTAGTATATTATTTTATATTAATTGCATATATGTTTTTCTACTTTCAGAAATTTTACCAATTTTAAAAAAAACTATTTTTATGAACTAAACAATAAATATCATGTTACACATAGTTAAGGCATGTTGTCCACAATTTATAAATAAATGAATAGAATAAATGTATAAAATAACAAATGTATAGGATATTTAACCATTTTCAATGATACATGTGTATACGGCTGACAATTTTAAGCTAGATATATTATTTATATTTGCATTAAATGCTTTTAATGCCTTTAAAATTAGTGTATAAATAAAAAATATACAAATTGTCTTCCTTTTATATATACAGTGGGTACGGAAAGTATTCAGACCCCCTTAAATTTTTCACTCTTTGTTATATTGCAGCCATTTGCTAAAATCATTTAAGTTAATTTTTTTTCCTCATTAATGTACACACAGCACCCCATATTGACAGAAAAACACAGAATTGTTGACATTTTTGCAGATTTATTAAAAAAGAAAAACTGAAATATCACATGGTCCTAAGTATTCAGACCCTTTGCTCAGTATTTAGTAGAAGCACCCTTTTGATCTAATACAGCCATGAGTCTTTTTGGGAAAGATGCAACAAGTTTTTCACACCTGGATTTGGGGATCCTCTGCCATTCCTCCAAGTTGCAGATCCTCTCCAGTTCTGTCAGGTTGGATGGTAAACGTTGGTGGACAGCCATTTTTAGGTCTATCCAGAGATGCTCAATTGGGTTTAAGTCAGGGCCCTGGCTGGGCCATTCAAGAACAGTCACAGAGTTGTTGTGAAGCCACTCCTTCATTATTTTAGCTGTGTGCTTAGGGTCATTGTCTTGTTGGAAGATAAACCTTCGGCCCAGTCTGAGGTCCTGAACACTCTGGAGAAGGTTTTCGTCCAGGATATCCCTGTACTTGGCCGCATTCATCTTTCCCTCGATTGCAACCAGTCATCCTGTCCCTGCAGCTGAAAACACCCCCACAGCATGATGCTGCCACCACCATGCTTCACTGCTGGGACTGTATTGGACAGGTGATGAGCAGTGCCTGGTTTTCTCCACACATACCGCTTAGAATTAAGGCCAAAAAGTTATATCTTGGTCAGACCAGAGAATCTTATTTCTCACCATCTCACAACTCCATGCGGGCTTTCATGTGTCTTGCACGGAGAGTCTTCCGTCGGGCCACTCTGCCATAAAGCCCCAACTGGTGGAGGGCTGCAGTGATGGCTGACTTTCTACAACTTTCTCCCATCCCCCGACTGCATCTCTGGAGCGCAGCCACAGTGATCTTTGGGTTCTTCTTTACCTCTCTCACCAAGGCTCTTCTCCCCCGATAGCTCAGTTTGGCCGGACAGCCAGCTCTAGGAAGCGTTCTGGTCGTCCCAAAC